TCCTCTTTCTCTGTGCTGTCATTATCCCTGCACAGGTGAGTATTAACAATTATATACTGGTCAGTACATAGAATCATTACCTTACAATAAGATCACTCAATTTTCAGCATGAGACATACATTTTTCAGAAAATTCTGGATGAATTCGGGATGGAAAAATTGTGATACTATATTATGTTTTGTTTTTTACTTGGTCAAAGGATGTTTAAAGTCAAACATTTGACTGAATATATAGTAATATCTTTTGTCATTATTTATACTACACTGAATATTAGACTTGAATCACAATGATCTGATCTTGATAAAATAATGTATTTTCTGAAAAAAGTTTCTCACCTCTCAATAGTTGAAAAAAGACAAACATGATAAACACGATAAGCATGTTGAACGTGCTAAACATGAGCACCATGATAAACATGGGAGGCCTGGTAAACATCATAGAAAGAGAGGCAAAGAAAGATTGGAGGGTAAGTGTTCATATTTTGGGTTGAAATATATTACATATGCATCTTTTAAATGTCTATGCAAATGTTCTATTTACAACAAAAATATCAGGCCTGAAGGCTGAGTTTGACCGTTCAGATGACTCTGATGATAATGACGATGCAAACGATTGGCTGTTTGAGCTTCAAGGTCTCCGAGGTATGATTCATTCGCAAGGACACATTAAACTGATCAAAAGTGACAGTAAAAACATTTATAATGTTACAAAAGATTTCAATTTCAAATAAATGCTGTTCTTTTGAGCTTTCTGTTCATCAAAGAATAAAAAAAAAGTCACAGTTTCCACAAAAATATTAAGCAGCAACTGTTTTCATCATTAATAAAAATAAGAAATGTTTCTTGAGCTCCAAATCAGCATATCAGAATGATTTCTGAAGGATCATGCGACACTGAAGACTTGAGTAATGGCTGCTGAAAATTTAGCGTTGCCATTACTGGAATAAATCACGTTTTAAAATAGAAAACATTTATTTTAAATTGAAATATTTAACAATATTCCTGTTTTTATTGTATTTTCCCAAACCAACCCCAAACTTTTGAATAATAGTGTACACATGTGAATAAATACAGCCCAATAAACAAACCAAAATACAATGTCATAAATAAACGTTTCCCCCTTTTGGTTATTCAGGAAAATGCAGCCCAAATCCATGCCTGAATGGAGGGGTGTGTGATGAAATGAGAAAGAATTTCAAATGCAAATGCCCCAAGCAGTTTGTAGGTAGAAAGTGCGAGAGAGGTATGAGCTCACTTCACACTGTATCACATTTATATCCATCACTGAAGTCATTTTGAAAAGCATGATGTTTGTTTTAGGGAAAAGGGTTTGTAAGAGGAGAAGCTGTGGGGCAGGACTATGTCTTCTGACCTCATCTCCTCCCTACTATAAGTGCAAGTGTATTCCACCATTTGCACCACCAAACTGCAAAACACGTAAGACATACAGCACTGAACTCATTCTGCACCAAGCCACTGTTTCTTAACAAACAGACGTTAACATTTCAGATTTGTTCTAGAATGCTCAGACAAAAAAGTAAAACTACTCTACAACTAAATCAGATTTCAAAGTAATGGAGATATATGGGTCGTATAGGCCTACTTGTTGATTCATGATTTATGTCTTTTTGTCTAGTTGCTCCATGTGAACCAAACCCTTGTCAGAATAATGGCAAATGTGTTGATGATGAGGATGATTTTGAATGCGTTTGTCCGGATGGTTTCAGTGGACAATACTGTCAAGTCGGTGAGTATATAATTACAGAGACGCTGTATTTCTATCCTTGGATTAATTTTTGTGTATAAATGATTCTGAATTTACGACATATTTCAGAAATGCAACGCATGTTAGTGAAGACAACATTTTGTCTTTTTTATATTATTCTCTTGGTGCTTTATACATAAATAGCAACTAGAAAATGTTAAATGCTTAAATGGGAAAAATGTGTTGTATTATATATATATATATATATATATACAGTGGGTACGGAAAG